AAAGAAAGTATGCACTTCAGTTGATATAAGAAGTTGGGCTTGCAGGAGCTAAATCCATCTCCACCACAATAGAGCTCAATTAGAAGTTGACCACTAATGTATATGACAAGCATGTAGCGGTAAATGAAGATGAAGAACTTGAGGACATAGGGAGCTATCAAAAGCTTATTGGTAAATTGCTTTACTTGACCATCACTAGACCAGACTGAGTTTTGTAGTACAGGTACTCAGTCAGTTTATGCAGGAGCCAAAACAATCTCATTGGGATGCATCATTGCGAGTGGTGAGATATATAAAGGCAGCACCATGCCTTGGTATTCTGCTTGGGACAGGACCTATTGATACATTGTCTGCCTAATGTGATTCAGACCGGGCTTCTTGTCCTAATACCAGGAGATCTGTCACAAAGTATGTCATCAAATTGGGGGATTCTTTACTCTCATGGAAGTCAAATAAGCAACAGACTGTCAGTTGAAGCTCAGCAGAAGCAGAGTACAAGAGTTTAGCAGCAGCAACTGCAGAAATCACATGGTTCCTAAGATTACTTAAGGAACTACAAGTTCAAATTAAGCAGCCAGTGTCTCTGCATTGTGATAGCAAAGCAGCCCTATATTGAGATCGATTGCCACTTTGTAAGAGAAAAAATCAAGAATGGGCAGTTGGCACCACAGTATATCTCTACCAACTTGCAATTAGCTGATTTCATGACCAAAGGATTGAGTTCATCTCAGTATCACTTCCTTCTGTCCAAGCTTGGGGTACTAAATGTGTTTCAAACCCCAGCTTGAATGGGAGTATTGTTATAAGAGCTAAAAGTGTACTAAGCAACTAATTAGAGGACTAAAGTGTAAATAAGTTGTTAGTTCATTAGAGTCGGTTAGTGATGTATAAAAGGGGACCACTCTATTGTAATAAACTGATTTCGTTCTTCTTCTTCTTCTTCTTCTTCTTCTTCTTCTTCTTCTTCTTCTTCTTCTTCTTCTTCTTCTTCTTCATCTCATCTCTATATCTCTCATTTCCTCTCTACTTCACCTTCTACATTACTGCTTGCATGTGTGATTTCTTTAACAGTTAGTGGACTAAAGTGTAAATAAGTTGTTAATTAGTTCGTTAGAGTCGGTTAGTGATGTATAAAAGGGGACCACTCTTCTTCATTATCTCATCTCTATATCTCTCATTTCCTCTCTACTTCACCTTCTACATTACTGCTTGCATGTGTGATTTCTCTACCAATTAGTGTAGATTTCATCACTTGTGAAGATAGTTCCCCGGATACGAGCACTGAGTTGGCAATTTTCAGTATTACATAATGTCACACACTTTCCTGTGTTACTGTACAGTGGGATCTGATCTGTTCAGGCTGCCACACTGCCGAGGTCAAAATCTCATTGCGTTGAATGTCTCCCATCTTTACAAAATATGATCTAAAGGTAACACGAGCTTCCCATGTTCAAATATTGTGTACTTTTTTTTTTATGGAAAGATAGTAATAACATATTTATTTAACTAAACAGGCCATTAAAACATAAAATGTCGTCCTGGACAGATATTATATTATCGTAATTAGACGAATTTGACTCATGAGGAACTATTATCATAGTCCATATATATATAGATATATATGTAGGGGAAGTGAAAAGTTAATAAAGAAAAAAAAAACACAAATGTTATACGCAATGGGGTCTAAAATTATAAGAGCCACGAAGAGATGAAATGACATCACTTTGCAAGTATTAATGCCAGTTTCACCAAAAAGCATAATTAATATTGTTAAAATATTTACTGTAAATTCAGGACTATATATGATTACTAGTGGTGTCAAAATGGATAAAAAATAATAATTTTTCATCCATATTATGAACTAACAAATGAATTGAATAATGAACTTTTTAAAAATGAATCAATATGTATAAGATCCATATTATCAATGAATTTGACCTTTATATTTGTAAAGATTCAAAATAGAGATTTCTCAAGTTTAGGAGTCTAAGAATTCTCCCAAAAGTGATCATATTCAAAAGCCATTGATAATATGAATATCTATATTATCCGTCGGTTAACCAATTTTCTATCTGTATCAAATATTGGTCGGGTTGGATACATTATCCGTTTTTGCGTTACCTATTTTTATCTGTCCATATCCGATCCGGCCCATCCGTTTGTTATCCCTAATGATGACCAAGGCCACAACGAGATCTCCCCCATTATTATTTAGGGCAAACTTATGCGTAGTATTAATCAACGCTTTTAATAATAGATCCTCCGGTCTTGTGGCGAATCTAGGAATTTCCTCAAGGGTGTTCAAATTTAAAAGAAGTGAAAAAAATTCCTGATAAATGGTGTTCAATACGTGTTATATACCTCTAAAACATAAAGTTTTACCTATGTATACAATGTAATTTTTCGACAAAAGTGGCTTCGCCACACACTGTGCCCCCATCCCCACACCCACATATTCTATACGTAGTGATTTTTTCAAGACGCGAGAAGAGAAGAAGAATACTGTGGCAGATCTGATGATGTGAACACTTTAGATGTATAAACATATATTTATGTTAAATCTTAGGAAACAACATTTTACATGTTATAAGGGGAAAACTAAAACACAGTGCACAGACATTTACACATGAACAATAGTTTACGACACAGGTTGAACTGGACTTTCTATATTTGTTTGACAATGACTGAAGGACCCCCTCTCTGCATTAGCAAATCGTACCATAATAAGGACCTCCGGATGTAGCGGTGTGATACTTTCTATAACTTTTATTAAATTTTTCCTATTTTATCACAAGAAAAATTCTACAATTGTTAGTTCCACAACCTTTTCGAAACAATACAAACAGCACAAGGCCCCAGCGTGATATTTATGAATTAGTCGGTACCAATTCCGAATACATAAATTAAAGTTCCTCTTTATTTTAAATTGTTGAAAAGAAAAAAGATGAGAATTATAAAAATTGCGATTTTTTCATGTTAAAAATACTGAGAGAATTAAAAGAATTACTTCAAAGATTACGAATATAAATTAGGGACCTCGATTTTAGTCCACAAATTAATTATGTGTTTATAATTTGCTTCTGTTGATTTACTTGTGGAATTAGTGTGATAACCTAAAAGGTCATCTCTTGTTTTAGAAGTCAAATCTATATTTCGAGGCCTTAAAAATCTCATTTTTCATTCTTCTTGATTTGCGTACGTAGTCCGGGCCTATATCCAGAAAGCCTTTATGTGAAAATTTGAGAAAAATGCAAAATTTTGCCTTTAAAATTGAATTAAGTTGATTTCGGTCAATATTTTGGGTAAATAGATCCGGACCCATGATTCGACGATCCCGGAGGGTCCGTAAGAAAATATGGGACTTGGGCGTATGCCCGAAATTGAATTCCGAGATCCCTAGCCCGCGAAATAAATTTTTGAAGAAAATTATTTGCTGAAAAATATAAGGAGTTTTAGAAATTGAATAATGTTTGAATTTGATGGTATCAGGCCCGTATCTTGGTTCCGGAGCTCGGTATAGGTTTAATATGGTATTTAAGTTATGTCCGTAAAACTTGGTAAGAAACGGAGTTTATATGACGTGATTTGGAACCTCGGTTGTAAAAATAGAAACTTTAAAGATTTCTTGAGATTTTCATTGATTTTGATGCTAAATTCGTTGTTTAAGATGCTAACAAGTCCGTATGATATTTTTAGACTTGTGTGCATGTTTGTTTGGAGCCCCGAAGGCTCGGGTGAGTTTTGGATAGGCCACAGAGTGTTTTGGAACCTTAAGAAAATTTCTGGTGTTGCAGATCTGCAGACTTCGCAATCCTACGTTACTGATTATGGAAAAATATCTCGCACACAGAGAAGTTGTTCATTGGCGGAGATTTCAATGGTCATATTGGGGCTAGTGCTAGGGGTTATGATGATGTGCATGGCGGGTAGGATTTTGGGGTTAGGAATGAGGGAGGTAATACACTGTTGGATTTTGCTAGAGCTTTTGATTTGGTTATAACTAACTCGAGTTTTCCGAAGAGAGAAGAGCACCTGGTCACTTTCCGGAATTCAATGGGCAAGACTTAAATTGATTATCTTCTCTGCAGGAAATGTGATAAAGGTATGTGCACTGAATGCAAGGTCATCCCAAGTGAGCACCTCACGACTCTACATAGGCTCCTAGTTATGGACCTAGAGATCAAGAGGAGTAGGAGGAAGAGGGCGGGGTGCAAGCGACCTACGATCAATGGGGGTAACTTGACCAATGAAAAAGCTCAGGAGTTAGGGGAGAAGTTGTTGGCTATGAGGGTCTGAATGAGTAGGGGGACGCGTTTAGTGTATGGTTCACGACTGCGGATTTCATTAGGGTAGCTGTTAGAGAGGTCTTAGGGGTCACGAAGGGCTCTCCTGGGTGTCATAAAGGGGACTGGTGGTGGAATGGGGAGGTTCAAGGTAAAGTGGAAGCTAAGAAAGCTGCATATTTGAAGCTAGTAGAGAGTACAAACGAGGAGGAAAAAAGGACTTATCGGGAGTGTTACCGAAAGGCTAAAAAAGAGGCAAAGTTAGCAGTTACGACGGCTAAAAATGCGGCGTTTACTCGTTTGTACGAGGAGCTCGAGGGCAAGGGCGGGGACAAGAGGTTGTACTGGTTGGCCAAGGTGAGAGAGAGGAAAGCCCGCGACTTAGACCAAGTCAAGTACTTCAAGGACGATAATGGGAAAGTGTTGATGGACGAGGCACTTATTAGGAGAAGATGGTAGACATACTTCCATAAACTGTTGAATGAGGAGGGGGATAGATGCATTATGCTGGATGAGTTGGAGCACTCCGAGAGTTGGCGGAATTTTAGGTACTGTAGGTAGATTATGGTAGAGGAGGTGGGAGGGACGATGCGTAAGATGTGTAGGGGCAGAGCGATGGGGTCAGACAAAATCCCGGTGGAATTCCGGAAGAGCGCGGGGCGGACAGGTTTGGAGTGGCTCACTGGGCTGTTTAATGTTATTTTTAAGACAAAGAATATGCCCGAAGAATGGAGGTGGAGTACGATGGTTTCGCTTTACGAGAACAAGGGTGATATCCAAAATTGCAATAATTATAGAGGTATCAAGCTGTTGAGTCACACTATGAAGGTTTGTGAGAGGGTGGTGGAGGCCAGGGTGAGGAGGTGCGTGTCTATTTCCGAGAATCAGTTTGGATTCATGCCGGGGCGTTCGACTACGAAAGCGATTCATCTAGTAAGGAGATTAGTGGAGCAGTACAGGGAGAGGAAGAAGGATTTGCATATGGTGTTTATTGACCTTGAGAAAGCATACGATAAAGTTCTGAGGGAGGTCCTGTGGAGGTGTTTGGAGGTTAGCGATGTTCCGATAGTGTACATTAGTGTGATTAAAGATATGTATGATGATGCTAAGACTCAGGTAAGGACTAGGGGTGGTAACTCGGAGCATTTTCTTGTGATGATGGGGTTGCACCAGGGATCGGCTCTTAGCCCATTTTTATTTGTTTTGGTGATGGATGTATTGTCGCGTCACATCCAAGGGGAGGTGCCTTGGTACATGCTATTTACCAATGATATAGTGTTGATTGACGAGACGCGTAACGGAGTTAATGCGAGGTTGGAGGTTTAGAGACAGACCTTGGAGTCTAAAGGTTTCAAATTGAGTAGAACCAAGACAGAATACTTGGAGTGCAAGTTCAGTGACGAGACACATGATGCAGACGTAGAGGTTAAGCTTGATGCTCAAGTTATCCCCAAGAGAGCGAGTTTTAAGTATCTTGGGTCTATTATCCAGGGTAACAGGCAGATTGATGAAGATGTCACGCATCGTATTGGAGCGGGATGGATGAAGTGGAGGCTCGCTTCCGATGTTTTGTATGATAGGAATGTGCCGCTAAGACTTAAGGGTAAGTTTTATCGAGTGGTGGTTCGACCAGCTATGCTGTATGGGGCTGAGTGTTGGCCAGTCAAGAACTCCCACGTGCAGAAGATGAGAGTAGCAGAGATGAGGATGTTGAGATGGATGTGTGGGTGTACCAGGAGAGATAAGATTAGGAATGAAGCTATCCGGGACAGAGTGGGAGTAGCCTCAGTGGAGGACAAGATGAGAGAGTCGAGGCTGAGATGGTTCGGACATGTTAAGAGAAGAAGCATGGATGCGCCTGTTAAGAAGTGTGAGAGGTTGGCCATGGAGAATTTGAGAAGAGGTCGAGGTAGGCCTAAGAAGTATTGGGGACAGGTGATTAGGCAGGACATGGCGGTGCTTCAGCTCACTGAGGACATGACCCTTGATAAGAGAGTGTGGAGATCGAGGATTAAGGTAGAAGGTTAGTAGGTAGTCTATAGTTGTTCACCGATAGTCTTAGTAGTATGCATGTCCCTTCATATTCTTAGATTTTTATTATGTTATGTGGTTTTGTTCGCCTCAGGTATTGTATTCCCTATTGCTATTATTTGGTACCACTTATCTTTTATCTCTCCCTTTTCTTTTATCTTCCATCTTTCTTCCTCCCTTGCTTTCCTCTTCTTCTTTTTGCCCTTCTTGAGCCGAGGGTCTATTGAAAATAACCTCTCTACCTGTATTAGGTAAGGGTAAGGTCTGCGTACAGACTACCCTCCTCAGACCCCACTTATTGAGATCAAACTGGATTTGTTGTCGTTGTTAATCCCAAAATAAAACAATCAGATGAGAAAAAATATCCTTCTCCAAAGATTCACTCTCAAAGTCCTTTAAGAAGTCCGGCGTTACTATTGAAAAGAAAAAAACATCTAATTTATTTAATGTAAATTCAAACACCTATTTTGTATTTACCCTGCATATTCTAATTAATCAAATCCATATCTATATCTATATTTATACTATATTAAAAGCACGAAGACCCTTAGCGAAATATCGTTCGCCTTTTTCACCCTTTAGAAATTAAATTCACATTGGACAAAATTATAATTTAAATTATTTTCCTAATATTTAGAAATTTATTAAAATTAATTAGATATTTGACTATGTAAAAAGTCCTAATATTTAGAAATCCTAAGCACATACAAATACATGTAACATAGATAGTTACTTCGAAATACTCCGAATATCTTTGGGTAGAGATTTAGTTACCTTAATATATAGACTTAGAATATTATACCTCCTTTTTCGTAATTACCTTTAAAACTCAAAATCTAATTGAAGAAGAATGTTACCCTTGCATCATCTTCAAGCAAGTTAAAGCCAGTATCTTTCTTATGAAGATGCTTTAACCCCCACATCTGATATAGGTTTAGAATTGATACACATACACAAAATTATAAAAGCAAGAAGTCATTAAAATTAATTGTTGATCAATTTTTACTCTTTAAAAATAGATTTTACATTAGACATTGTCATTAAAACTTTTTTTCCCTAATATTAAGCCTTTGAAATTAATTAATTTTTTACTGAATTCTTCCTTATTAGAAATATTATGTCCTATGATATATACTTTGAATTGATTAAATTCTATATTATATACTGATAGTAGAATTACATATTAACCTCACTAATTACCAAAAATATTATTAATCTCACTTGTAAAATAAAACAATTGACTGCGGAAATTTAATAGACTTATAATTTCAGATTCTATTTCAATGCTTTCTCTTGGAATAAATACATTAGTCTTTGCATAATAATACATAGGCAAATAATTAATTTACAGCTACAATTTTGATCACATAAGGATGTTATGTAAGTTGATTGAGAGATAACAGGGTTTCAGACAGTTAATGAAGGTAGTAGCTCTTGATTTTTGGTTTTGGTTTCAAGTTCTACAAATTACAATAACGAAATAATTATGACAAGGAGAACCAACAAAATCTTTCAATTTCATATTTATTTTACTATGCTCAACATGACCATATTAGATTTTTTTTATTACAATTATCTTATGTAATTATTTTCTTATTTGAATAATATAACATAATTGTAATCTCTTCGATATTATGTTTGACCGATATAGATGAACTATATTCCATTTCTCTTTATTTTTTGCGTTCATTCTAACAAATGATAAGCCCCTCTATTTAGTTATTTATTGCAAAATATTAATTCAATATTAGTTACTTTTAGACTTTACATTATTATTTATTATTTTTTAAGAACTATGTGACCGACCTCTTCATTTTTAAATCTAAAAAAGACCAATAGATTTTATTTTTATCTCTTATTTAATAAATCTTTAAAGAATCACGATAAAAGTATTTTTGTATATATTACTTTTTATTTTCAGTATTAGGTCAAACAAATAACAACAATATTATATTCATAAGAGAATCCCACATCTATCCTCAAGAATCACAATAAGACATCTGGCGACTTCTATGGGCATGATTTCTTTCTTTCTTTTGCTAGCTAAATGGATGAACATTCATTATTTTCAGGAATTTATATTTTTTAATTTTTATTTTACAACTCATACACACTATATAATAATACTTGCATAATTTTTAAAAAAATCATATTCATTTAATAAATGGTTCACGCGCAAAGCGTGTACTCTAAAACTAGTTATATTAAACGTACGAAGACCCTTAGCGAAATATCGTTCGCCCTTTTTACCCTTTAAAAATAAATTTTATATTGGATTGAATAGTCATTTCATAATTTTCTACTATTAAGAGCTTTCAAATCAAATAATATTATTTACTAAATTATTTTCTTATTTAAACTATGTAAAATAACCATAATATATTCCAAGTTACTTTTCCTTATCTGAAATTAACGAAAGTTCCATAATACATTCCAAGATACTTTTCCTTATTTGAAATTAAGTTGTTACTATTAAATCTAAATAAAATCCTATTTAGGTTAGAAAATCACATCTATACAAGAATGACGAAAGTAAAACTGAGTTTAGCCACATTGCCTACAACTCTATTGCTTATCAAGGTATCAATTGCATTGCTTTATCTAACTTTAAGTTTTTTTGATTATTGGCTTGATATTAGTCGCCATAATTATATAAATTTATGTATTAGTTTTACTGCAATTCGTGTGGTTTCCTAAATTCTATGCTATTTGTTGGACCTTCTTAATTTTTGAGTTGTGTTTCTATCTCCTGATAATTCATGGTGCTTTATCTATGTTTTCTATTTCATGGTTAGGGAATATTAACTTGAAAATTTTGGGAATTCCAAGATAAAGATTTTTTTTAGGGCGAATATTTATTCATCACGCAAGCTCTATTTTTTAGCAAAATGGAAGCTATGGCGGGTTGCATTTTAGATTCTGTGAGCAATGAACACAGAGTTACGAAAAACTATTTTTCTACTCGTGGATTGGTATGGTTTAGTACTTCTAATTAAGAAATAAACTTTAGTTGGTGTTGCGTTGATGCCAAGGATATGTATCGTTGCGCTTAGATCTTGATAATTTTTACTAATATATCTTCATCCATTTAGGTATATGTCATACAACTCTACAATAAAACTTCATGCTCAATTATAATTCAGTTATACTTGAATTAGTACTAATGTATTAGTTCGATAGTAATTTTAATATGTTGTATTCATGGGTTGTTTAATCATTAGGAAAAAATCGAACTGAAGATCAATCAACCTTAATTCTTTTCAAATCAAAAAGTTTGTCTAGATTCTAAAGATTAAAAAGAACCTCACAAGTCCGAACTTTTTGAAGGATCATTAAACTAAAATATTTAAAAAGTGTTAACTTAGACGGCATATTATATCAAATGTCAAATTTTTTAATATAATTAATTAGTCACCTTTGTTAGGTTGCAAAATCTCACTTTTATGGAGTGTTACCTATAGATATATTTTGGATAACTTAATAATATAAAAGCTTCTTAAACTATCAGTGTATTCAAGTTAACTCATTTTAAAAATCTTTTGTCTGCAATTTAGTTCCAATCATGTTGCCCGTGGTATTTTTATTTTTAGAAAATTATTATTCCTTTTTTGTACAGGTGCATGGTAATTCTTGGAGATGCCAACATGCTTCGCTATATCAAACGAACTTTATTATTTGCATAATCCGTTTGAGCATGATTTCTTTGAGTAAACACATAACAGACATAAAATAAAGTAGAAATAACATTCTTCATTTGCGGAATATCTTCTACCATGCCACTCATTGTTCATCAAATAACCAACATAATCTAGGACTAATGTAGCTAGAAGCATATCTAGATGTGGAAGATCAATAATCTCTCTCTTTCCAGTTTGATAATTATTGCGTATGTCAGGTATATTTACCATTCGAGCTTGATATTTTTTGACTACTCTTTCTTTTCTTTTTTTTTTCAGAATTCTTACAGTTGTTTTGTATTTTTAATAGCTATAAGTTATTAATTTGTACTTTTACAATACAAATATGCATTTTCTACAAATCTAATAGCAGCTAGTTGCACATAATCAAGTAGTCTCATATTATTTGGATTTCAATATCTTACTGATTTATTCTATTGTGTCTCTTAAAATTTTGAATCTGTTTAAAATGCCAATCATTTAGAGAATTTCTCTTTGTAAGTTCGTTAATTATAAATTAACTTTTTTTGCTTTGAAGTTATTATTACATTAATACATTTAAATTGCAGCGAATCACTATCTTTCATTAATTATGTTAAAATTAGCCAATCTTAAACAAATAATCAAAATACTTTTCGTTCTTTTTCTCCTAGACTTTTTGTATGCACATATATGAAGTATTTCATAAATATGCCGAGTAAGTTTTTCTACAATTTTGTCAAGCAGAGAACATTTCATAAATACGCCGAGTAATTTTCTCTACAATTTTGTCAAGCAGAGAACATACTCTTAAGGAGTACTGTATGTTTTTTTTAACCTCAATAATAATATGCTTATTTGAATATGATTTACAAGTTACTAAGACGGTATGTGATAGTTGGAAATGAGACGTCTAAATGAAACTGATAGCTACAGAAGAAGTTTTACAATGCATTAAAAAATGTGGCTATGAGAGTATCCTCAATAGTTAACATTATTACATCATCTATTTTTTAAATCTGTGAATAAAGATAAGAAAATCCCACGTGTAGAAATTTTATGAAGAAAAATTGGTAGAATGTTCTATGGTCTAGATTAGATGTCCAAGATATTTAGTATAATTATTTTGATGTCGGAATTGGTATTATGAGGAGTGTGTTAAAGGAAAATCTTCGTGTAAGTGTTTAGAATAATGGCTATGACTGTTGTAGTGTATTATGTTTG